CTCAAATAAATTAATGAGTAGATATGATATTTTGGAATCAAGTGTTAGTAGATCAAGACGACAAATACATGAACATTAATACTATACAAAGAGTGAAATGACAATATAAAGCAAGGAACAAATGAATCGCTAATAACGAGTGACGATAAAAGTAGATAATAGATTAGGTTTATTTTGATTTAATTTTTGACAATATGAATACCTGGGGATATACGATGAATGATAGTAGGCGACAAAGATATGGCATCTATGCAAAGCAATGATCATCTGTTGGAAGAGCCAATCTTAGGGGATAATCTTGACCCTCTGATAAACCCAACCCATGTTCAACCATCTTGGGATCAACTCCTTCAGCATATACCGAACCTAATGACAAGACAACAAGAAACTCCATGTGAGATGAAGGAACATCACTTCATCAATATATTAGTCTTTACAGGTGATAATCAAGACCCCATAGAATTGTTGGAAGTTATCAATATCAATAGGGAATTCAAAGCTAACAATATAGTAGGAAACAGAAGACCCTTGGTAGTTGATGCTTATTTCTCTGGACTTGCAGCATTTTGGTAGAAAGGTCAAAGAGTAAAAAGGCTGGGCCTACAATATTGGAATAATGAGTTTCACCCTGATCAAAGCTTTGTGCATCAATTTTATTCTAAATTTTGTACACATGCTTTGATAACACAATGGAATACAGAACTTCTAACAAGAAAGCAGTGGGTTAGAGAAACGTTTAACCAATATGCAACAGATATGTTAGTTTTATTCTAAAGAGTAATGAAAGTGGGTAACCAATACCCAGAAATCGTAAAAGTACAAATGTTTGTGTAAAGTCTTCGAACTGATTTGTCTATGACTCTTAGCCTATTCATATCTAGCATCTTACAAGAAGCAATTAATAAAGCATAAACATGCTTGGCTACATGTGAACCTATAGCAATCTATAATAATATGTTGAGTTTTTCACCTCAACCACTTTACTCGCAGCAACAATAGATATTACAACTATAACAACAATAGATGCTACAACCTAGGGTTGGAGGTACAGAAAATTTTTTAGGTATACTTAAAAAGGCATGCCTTATCCTAAAACATACCTTTTATATTATGCCAAGAGCATGCCTCTATATATAAATCATATGATACATATAATATATATATATAAATTAGAGAGAAGTCTAAAGCAAAGATAAATTATATGACCAATTTAGGGTTTGATTAACTTATATAAATAAATTGATCTTCTGATTAGTTTTATGTCACATAATTTATCATCATTTTAGATGACCTCTAAATTAGTAGTATAGTGAACTTTTATTTAATTGATTATTAGAAAATAAATTCAAGCTAAAAAAATTATTAAACAAAAGTTATAAATTTAATAGACAATA